TTCCAGAGCCCGGGGCCGAGGGCTCTCCGGGGTGGGCGGCGCCGCTGCAGCCCCTCAGCCCCCGGGGCGCAGGGCTGCGGGCGGGGCTGAGCCCCCAGCGACCCCCTCAGGCGTGCCCTGCGCTGGGCCCCCGGGGCAGAGGGAGGCCCGCGCTCCCCACAGCGACCGCGGATCCCCGGGGGGCTCCGGCACCCACAAAGGGGATTCCAAGGTGACTAGTCGCCCAGTTGGACGGAGGCCCCCTGGCATCCTCCCATTCTGGGTGCATCCGCCTTCCCAGAACTTTCCTCGCACCTCCGGCCACCCAATTCCTTAGCCCCGGGAAAAGTTCTCACAGGCGAACGGAATCCTGTTTCCCGGTGGCTTCCAAAGCTGGGCAGGAACCCAGGCTGTGGGGGGTGAGGTGGGGTAGAGATGTTGGGGGGGGCTGCCCTCGGCGGCGGGGGGCATCCGGGAAAGGCTGGCCAAGCATCCACTTGTGCGCCCAAGGCGGGCTTGGCATCGAAAGGGTTTCGGCGCCAGGGGGTTGTTTGGGTTTTTCCTGCCAGGAGAGCGGGAGGCGGGAGCGAAGGGAGGATTTTAATTTCATCGCCTAAAATGAAGACACTCTTTGCAAAGAAATAGCCAGGGCAGCCAGCGTTGGAGAGATGGGCTGACCAGGACCCGGTGACACAGGTATTCTGGCTGCGCCTGCCGCCCCACCCGGCGTGTGAATGTATCCATCGTTTTAATTGATTTCTTTTTGAAGCCAGGTGGCAGCGGCTGCGTGTGTGTACACACAGATATACACACACACAAACAGATACACATGAGGAAACACACGCACACACACACCACGGGTCCACACGCATGCACACATACCTTCAAAGAGCCTGGGTAACGGGTCAGGTCCCTGAGTATTACCCAACCCTGAGCACTACCCAAGGTGTACGTATGTGTGTGTGGGGGGGTGAAGGGGTGGAGGACAGGAAGGTGAAGCAGGGCTCCCAGTAGGTCAAATGGTGCGGTCGTCTCCGCCCCCGACCCCAGATCCCTGGCTTTCTTCTCCTGGGGGGTGTCTGAACGAGAAATCTCAAACTTGGGCTCGTTTCCACAACCAAAGAGGGGTCGGGCCCTATTCCCCAGCGCCCGCAACCCCTGCAGACTGAGAACAAGTCCCTCCCTCCCTGTGTCCGAACCGGTGGCGCCAGGGCGATCAAAACCCGAAGGAGCGGTCACCTCGAAACAGGGCGTGGCCCCCCGGCGGCTGCTGCGATGTTGTGGTCTCTCGCCTGCTTGGCCCAGGGTTACAGAGGTGGGGAGGGATGATCCGAGGGGCAGAGGTTGGGGGCGTGGGTTTGCTTGCAGCCATCCCGACGGGCCCTGGACACTGCAGGGAGTAAGTCTTCCTCTCACCCTGGCTCCTTAGGAATGTAATCGAGGATGCTGGCCCTGCGGCTGCTCAACGTGGTGGCCCCCGCCTACTTTCTGTGCATCTCCCTGGTGACCTTCGTGCTGCAGCTGTTCCTTTTCCTGCCCAGCATGCGCGAGGACCCCGCGGCTGCCCCTCTCTTCTCGCGGGCCCTGCTCCACGGGGCGCTCTTCCTATTCCTTTCGGCCAACGCCCTGGGCAACTACGTCCTGGTCATCCAGAACTCCCCGGACGACCTGAGCGCCTGCCAGGGAACCTCGGCCAGCAGGGCTCCGTGCCCCCCGCCCAGCACCCACTTCTGCCGAGTGTGCTCCAGAGTCACCCTGAGACATGACCACCACTGTTTCTTCACCGGCAACTGCATCGGCAGCAGGAACATGCGCAACTTCGTCCTGTTCTGCCTCTACACCTCCCTTGCCTGCCTCTACTCCATGGTGGCCGGCGTGGCCTACATCTCCGCGGTCCTTTCCATCTCCTTCGCCCACCCCCTGGCCTTCCTCACGCTCCTGCCCACCTCCATCAGCCAGTTCTTCTCCGGTGAGTGGGCCTTAGCAGGCAGATTGGTTGGACCCTACACAAAGACCCCCCACCCAACCCCAAGAGTTGCCAGATTTAGCAAATAAAAATACAGGATGCCCAGCTAAATTAAAATTTCAGATAAACATTACATAATTTTTTAGTGTAGTTATGTCTCCAATATTGCATGAGACATTTACACTTAAAAGATTTAATGTTGCCTATCTGAAAAAAATTAAATGGACCTGCTGTATTTATCTGGCAACCCCCTCCTCCCCGCATCCTCATTCATCTTACTGTCCATTTGCTCATAGAATTGCAGCATCGAAGTGATAGACCTGCTTTATGCCAGGTAGGGCTGGGTGCTGCCATCCCTCCCTGCAGGCCTATGAGGTACAGCCATGCGATGGCTTTCCTCTTCCTGGACCCCAGTCCTGCTCACACATTCCCTGAGGACTTTGCCTTTCAGAGGTTTTGCCGACCAACTCGGGGCCAGGCCGTTAGCAGGAGGCTAAGTCCCATCTCCTGATCACTATGTTTGACTCCAGCAGGCTGCCCAGCCTGTGGATGGATCAGAGCGGGGGACTCTGATGGAAGGTGCAGCCATGTTTAGTGTCCCCATCTCCACATTACAGAGCCATAGGCCTGGTGTGGATCTGACCCTCCAGGAGGCCTTTATACCTGTAGAAGCCAAGCATGTAGGCCATCACATCGTGCCCTGCTGGGTGCCCTGGTAAGGACTGCACTTTAAACAGTGTGCACCCAGGAGAGCTGCCTGATACCTGGTCCTAGGGGGTCTTGGCTACTGGTAGATATTCTTACCACTTTATCTGGCCTTGAAATTTGTCCTGCCTCATTTCCTTTCCCTCCCTCCTCACCCTGGCCTTTGACTCTGACTGACTTGGTTCTCCCTGTTGGTAGTGTGCAGACATGTGTATAGCATTTCTATTTTTCAGATGGAGAAACTGAGGCTCAAGTGAGAATAGATGACTTGCCCAGGGTCTTCTTACTCCTGGGTAGCAGTCTCTGGCCTGTCTCCCAGGTCTTTAAACCACAGCCAATGCTCTTCCTCAGCAGCACAGAGAATGGAGCATGTTTCCTCATTCACTGACCTTCCAGGAACAAAGACAGAGCATAGCTACTTCCACTGAGAGCCCAAGATTGGCTTGATGTGTCTGGGTTGAACATTCATAAAAATTCTGGTCCACTCTGGGGGAAGCCATCATTTCGGTCTTTATTGTGGCTGCAGCCCAGTGCTATACAACTACTGTGCCATTTGGCAGTGGGAACACAGAGGTCCAGGGAGGACCCAGCTATGGGGGTTGCCGAGAAGGCAGGTGGTTGAGCTGGGCCCAGAACTCAGAGCTCTTGGGCCTTCTGGAATCTGGTTCTGGCATAAGAGGCTGCTGGGACTGAAATAACAAAGACGGGGGAGGGCAGGTGGGCGGGCTGCGGGGTGGAGTGTGAGCACAGGCAGGTGGGGGGATAAGGAGAGCCAAAGAGCCTGACGGCACTTTCTTTCCAAGTAGTTTCACCAACCATAAAAAATGGATGGTTCCAGAAGGAGGATCTTGAAATGGTTTGATTTGAGATAAGTCTGGGCTTGAGGACTGTCCATATGTGCTAGGTTTGGGAGACGGAAGGAAGGAAGGAAGGAAGGAAGGAAGGAAGGAAGGAAGGAAGGAAGGGCCTCCTGATTTGATGTAATAGGAGAATAGAGCCAGTCAGTGCCCTCCTAGGGGCCCAGAAATCCCTGTCCCAGCATATGGATGAACCCCACTTTCACCTCATCATACCTACTAGGAAAAAAGGAGGCCAAGATTTCTAATCTCCAACTCTCCCATCTCATCTTCCACCTTTGATGACCTTTCATCTTTCCCCTTATGAACTCCTCTTCTCCCCCCTCTGCCCCCACCAACATAACACCCCATCTGTTCAGCTTCCTCCTTCCTATCTCTTCTCTTCTGATTCTCAATTCAAACGGTTCAGAGCACATCAAGACAGAAGGCAATAAGAAGTCACAAGTTGTTTAATAGAAGTTGAGCTGTCCCCAACTCTGATACAGATCTGAGTCAGATCTGCCACTAGAGCATGGGATGGCTGTGAGTGTGGGTCCTGAGAGGTAAAAGTGGAAGCATTCTTCTAAAGTGAAGCAGGCTGCTGACCACGGGTCCTAAGCTGATGCCAAAGAGGGCCAGCTAGTTAGGTTTTAGAAATTGTCCTTTCTTTTGGTTTTGTGGGACCAGTACATGTTGTGCCACCTCTCTCATCTGTGAAATGGAGATGACACCATCTGACCTGTATCATGGCATTTGGATAAGTACACCAGCATGGCAGGTGACACTGGAAAGTCCAGCAGGAGGGAATGGGGACTGATGTTTTTTTGAGCACCTATTGTGTGCTGTCCACTGTGCACATCTCATTTCATCCAATCCTCATGACACGTCTGTGCAGCAGGTACTATTATATCTATTTTAAAGGAACCGAAAGCTCAGGAACCAAAGGCTCAGCAAGGTTAAGTTGCTTCAAAGCCACACAGCTAGTATGATTCAAACCCAAGATTTGGACTTGGGGCTGCTAGCCTCCAAAGCTCGTGCTCTTTCCACTACACCACATTGCCTCTCTGGGGTTGCTTCTCTGAAGCCATTTCTTGATAAATGAGCCACTGTGGGAGGGAGGGAGCTTCTTGTCCCTGGATGTATTCAAGAAGATGCTGGGTGATGATCTGTCAAAGGTGTTAGAGATGCTTGGTGGGAGGCAGGGGCAAGGAGACTGGATGATGGGACTGTTCAGGCCCTTCAGGAAAATTATGTGATGTTTTAAAAGAAGCATATCTATTATTAAATAGTTAAGAGGAGCTGAAGCAGCTAGGCTAGATAACTTCAAACACTTCAAGAGAAAGTAGGTCCCCAGAATAGCCTTTTGTAGCTGCTGCATGGGGCCAGGAAAAGGCCACAAGGTCTTTTCCTCATGCCTTGATTTAGTGCCAGAAAAAGGCCAGTGGGAAACAGCTTCCATCCACCCAGGCTGGTCCCTGGGGCTGACTTGCAAGACAGGCCCAAGCTTGATGGCTCTGATGTTCTCACATCCCAGCTCGAGGGCCATCTCTGTTCGCCAGCATTCCTTGAGCCCAAAGGGCACCATGGTCCCAGGATCCTCCATCCTGTCCTGTATATGACTGCTCAAGCTAATCTGTGCTGACAAGGAAGAAGTGGGTCAGGGGATGGCCCAGTCCAATGTGAGCCTTGCCCTGCTGCTGCCCCTGTGCCAGCAGAGGGGCTGCTGTAAATGTCAGCTGGAGCAAGCTTTCTATCCCCTGGGTGGCTGGACCTATTTGTCTTCAACTCTGCAAAGGAAAACCTGCTATGAAATCTCCTAGGGATAAGGGCAAGAAGAGGATGCTAAGGAGCAAATCCAGACTGGATACACATCCTCCCTAGCTGCTGAGTCCCCCACTGCTCGGACTGGACAAGTTTTAAAAGCCAAACTCTCGGGGGTCTGGAAATTGGAGCCTGGGGAAAACCTGGGAGGAGGTGGGCTGGGGCAAGGGAGGCTGGTGGAATATGGTTGAAATTTGCATGAGCAGAACAGGTTGTAAGGTGGGGTCCCTGGAGCAGATATCCCCACTTCACTAGAGGAGGTGGTGGTGGTGTTGCCCTACAGTGAGAGAAGGGCTAAGGAGGGCTTATAAATTCTCTCCTGGGCCCACTGCCCTGCTGCTGGGCAGGTCAAGGTAGGTGTCTTTACCAGCTGCCACAGTTGCAGCTCAGACAGGACTCTAAGCCCTGGAAAGGAGAAGAAAGCTTGATGGCCTTAGGAATTAAACTTGACCCCTTTTTGGATGTAGTCTCATCTATAAAATGATCCTCAGCAGGGAATGATGCACTAAGTGTGAACCAGGATGCTGACCACTTTGTACACAATTTCCTTGAATCATGCAACCCTATGAAGTCGTTATTATCACAATACCCATTTTACAGATAAACAAACTGCAGCTCAGAGAGGTTAGGAAGCTTGTACAAGTCCACACAGCTGGGAGATTCAAACCTAGCATGGATCTACCACCCAGACTCTGAGGAAGAGTTTGCGATCTCTTACTCAGTGGATATTTAAAACCAGTAATAAGAAGTGCTTGATTTAGAGTGGTTTAGGGGAGGTCCTGCCCCATGGCCAGGGGCCAAACTGATGACCTTGGGGGCCTCTTCCAAGCTTAGCAAGCTCTGACTGACAGGATAGCTCTGGATGAATGTTCAAGTGGCCACACCATCTTCCTGCTAACATTAATGCCTGAATTATTCTCTAAGTTGGCACTCTTTGCTACCCTTGAAGCTAAGCTCGTGACTTGTTCTTCGTGATGACTGTGCCCTGTTCTTCATCATGTTGTCACTTTCCTGAGTGCTTCTGGCTCCATAGGGAGGTGGCCCTGCAGTCTAGACAGCTGCCCAGGTGCTGGCTCCCTCCTGAGGGTCCTCAGCTCACCCCTCTCTCCTCCTGAGAAAACCCTCTCCTCCCTGCTTCGATCCCAGACAGAGAAAGCAGAGAGATGGTTATCTCTGACTCTGCAGAAATGTTAACAGTGTCTAAGCGCTGCCCTGAGAAGCTGAGGGCTCTCCTAGCTGAGCTCATCAGGCTTCCCCTCCCTCTCCCTCAGGTTCCTAGTTCTCCCTTTTACCCTCAGGAGCCATCAACACTAAGAAAAAGTTAGGGCAACTAGTTCATCCTTCCTCTCCCTCACTGCAGTGCTGAGATTGCTACAAAATGTAGCTTCAGTCTCATTAATCTCCCTCCCTCCCTCCCAGCGGAAAGCGGCTGCCTGGATGGCATTTCTCTACGTGGCCTGGGTGTAAAGCCGTTCTGGTGTTTCCCCTCCCCCCACAGGAGCTGTCCTCGGTTCTGAAATGTTCGTCATCCTCATGCTGTACCTCTGGTTTGCCATCGGCCTGGCCTGTGCCGGCTTCTGCTGCCACCAGCTGCTGTTGATCCTTCGGGGGCAGACCCGCCACCAGGTGCGAAAGGGGGTGGCAGTGAGGGCCCGGCCCTGGCGCAAGAATTTACAGGAGGTCTTCGGAAAGAGGTGGCTGCTAGGCCTGCTGGTCCCTATGTTCAATGTTGGAAGTGAGAGCTCCAAGCAGCGGGACAAGTAGCAGGCACTGCCATCATGTCTTTGTGTGTGTCAACTCCTCCTGAATGTAAGACCACCGCACCCTTGTCTCCACCCACGACCCACCATAACCTTGGGCTGGTAAGGTCTTAGCATGCACCCAGGTCTGCAACCCACAGAGAACAGCATCAGCAGGTGGCTCATGACAAGGAGGAAGAATGGCCACCCAGGCATCGCTAGGCCCCTCACAAGCTGGCCAGGTGGCTGCTGACTGCTAGGATACCTCTGCTTTTTTTTCTTCTCCTTGGGATGCCCGCTTCCCCTCTGCTTGGCTCATTAGCTCTCTACCAAGTCTCATGTCATCACTGCTGACTACTAGAGCCCTTCCTCCCAGGCTCCATGTTGGGAGTGGGGAGTGGGGAGTGTATTCTTGCTGCTGGGTTGAAGTTCCCCAGGACCTGTGGGCTGGCAAGTGATTAAAATTACCATGTGTGAGAGGCAGCCAAGTCAGCCCTGCTAGGGAAGTTGGGAAAGGGTGGGCACATGCCCTCATCTCCTCTGTAGTATTGTGGGCAGCAAAGGGAAAAAGAATTCAGTAGCTTGCTGTCCACCCCCAAGGATCAAGGTCCTTTCTCAGAGACAGCAAACAATGGCCCGGTATTTCCAGCTGCTGTTCCCTGCCCACCCTGCCCAGCTGGCCACCCCAGCCCAGCCCAGGACCTGGCTGGATACTGCCTTTTTCAAGCACTCTTTCAGCCTTCCCCCTTGGTCTCCAGTCTTTGGGTCTTTGCCAGATGCTGGAAAGGCAAGGAAGAAGGGAGAGAGAAAGTGGAGTTACTGAAAAATGAGGGAGGCATGTCACTGTATCATAGTATAGAAGGGGACACGTGTGTGTGTGTGTGTAGCAGGACATAGGTGGTGGCGAGGAATGTTGTTATGAACACAGAGGAAGAATGCTTAGGGGAGGCGGAAAATGGGCAGGGGAGATAGTTCATTTATACCCTCTATAAAGGACACTCTGGCAGCTAAAGCTGTTCGATGTTTGAATGGCTACCTGCGGAGGTAGTGAGTGCTCCACCATGGTAGGTTTTCCAGCAGGGACTGGGTAGTCATCTGCCAGGCATGTGCAAGGGATTTCTACATGGACTCTTTCTAGATGAGCTTAGACATCCCTTCCCACCCCAAGATTCTAGTGTCCTCTGTGATTGCTGGGCCCAGAGGCAAGATCTTGCAGAGATAACCTGTGAGCTATTTGCTTTCATAGACAGTAGGGTGGGGATGGAAGGGGTCCAAAAATCATGATACAAACTTTCAGGATCCAACCAAGCCACTGGGCACAGAGCCACTGGAGAGACAGGACTACCTGGTTGAGGGGGCTGGTATTTGAGAGCAGTGAGATGGAGCATCGTAAGGGTCAGATGCAGGCAGTGGTGGGGAGAGAAGAGCCAGCAGGTCATGCTCAGCTCTGAGGGGTGAGATTGGGGGAGTTGAGGCTGGGGGGTGGGGATGACCAGAATATAAGGTTGCAATTGCCAGATCATCCCTGGCTCCGGCTGGGGGCCCTGCTATGTGTTCTGGTACCCAGAGGACCAGACTCCTGGGGCATATGAAGGAGCTGGGACAACACAAGTGCCCCTTCCTGACTGGGCCCCAGGCCAAACCAACATCCATACAGGCAGGAGAGCTGAAGCCCACACCCTGCTGTGCCCAGCAGGTGGCCACAGCCACCCCAAGGGTTTCTGCACAATACCCGGAGTTCTTGAGCAGAGCTTGGGAGGACTTTACCTTGGTCCTACCTTTATGCCCTCTAAAGAGCTAATGTAGAAATGGCTTGGCCTGCTCATAGTTCTCCCTCCCACATTAATTCATTAATTCATTCATTTACCTGACATATATTTATTGAGCACCAACTATGTGCCCAAGTCTCTTCCAGGCACTGGCAATACAGTGACGAACAGGACAACAAGATCCCTGCCATCACTGGTACCTTGCCACTGCTCCCCTGTGCACTGGCTCACACTCCCTGAAAAAAGGCCACTCTGAAATCTCGGTGGTCAGCAGGGCAGGTCACTTGGAGGGAAAGGATGTGGCACAAAGGACTGAAGGGCAGCCTAAGCTGCCTCGATGGAGGAATTACTGGGGGTATCTGCACCCCCAATTCTGGCCATACTACTTAAACAGTGGGAGGGAGAGGGGAGAAGGTTAGAGCAGTTCAGGCCTTGGCTCTCTCTTGACCCCAGAGCTCAAGCTTGGAAGCCAGTCCTGCCATTTCCAGCCTCCTGGAGTCTCAGCACAATGAGAACTGACATCCACAGAGGGGCAAAGAGAGATCTGTCGGGGGAGGGACAGAGGGGTGGGTCAGTTCCTGGCAGACCAGCCAATGGGGGTGATGGTTGCGAGGTTGCCAGGTGTGGGACTTGAGTAGCATTTGTACACATGGCCCTGTATTGGCAATGAAGAACATCAATACAGTATGTGGTTTTAAATTGGGTTTGATATGATTGTATGTGGCACTGTGGTTGGCGGCAGGCTGGCAGGGCTGGAATGTACTGATGCAGTCATATTAGCTTTTCAAATATTTAAATAAGTATTAAAAATATTCTGTCCAAGTTGGTAAGTAAGCATGGCCCAGATTCCCTATGTAACCCATCCCTGCTGACCTGGCTCCTCCCTGGGGACCCCTGGCTCACTCCACAATCCAGCAACTAAAGGAGTAATGCCTGGCCTTGCATGGGGCCCCCAGGACCCTGCTCCAGCCCTCAGCCAACATCCATTGTGATTGGCAGGGGCTGTATGGTGGCAAATATGTGAATATCAGCCCTGGTTGGCAGCGACCTATCCTGTAGAGCTGGGCTCTGTAGACTCATGGGACGAGGGATGGAATATCTTACCTGAAAACACCTTCCGTCTCCTTTTTCTCCTCCTCCTCCTCTCCCTTCCCTCCTCATGTCAGATGGCAGGTGGGAAAGAGAATGAAGAGGATAACTCTGAGGATCAGCCAGTGCCCTCTGCCCTCTCAGCCCCTATGACACTTGGAGACCTTGGGCTGCCAGCGTGAGGGCAGCTGGGAGGGGAGTGAGCCCCGCAGGGAGTGGGCACTGAGTAGGTGAATAGCCATGGCCTCTGATGCATCCTAACTGCATGCAGGCCTGGACTGATGGAGGACACACTGCAAAGTGATGATTTTATTTGGGCTGTTGAAGAAACTTCAGCCTAGGCCATATGGTCTGCGTTCCCTGAACACACGCCAACAGGCAACCAGCAAGGCAGCCCGCAGATGTGCTAGGGGAGCTGGATGAATGGAGCTGTGGCTAACCATCAGCACCTTCTAGAGCATGGGCTGTCTACACTCCACAGGGCAGACACCACACCTGCCTTGTTCACCATTGCATACTTGATGCCCAACAGAGACTAGGCATGTAGTAGGTACTCGATAAGTATTAGGTAAATGAATGCACAGATCTTGTGCTCTTTTGCTTACTCCACATCTCTTATTCCCCTGATGTGCCCAGCACTGTGCCATGCACATTGTGGGGCTCGAAAACAGACAAGACAACTCTGTCCTGAGGAGCTCCCAGCCTCAGAGGAGTGAGAGAGCACATCCAGCTGTCGGGACTAGGGAGCTCCGTTTGTGCAGGGCCTGGAAGGATGGATGAGATTTCAGCAGGTGGAGAGGGACAGAGAGGGCTTTCCAGGGAGAAGGAACAGGAATGGAGCCTCGGAGTGTAGGGGACATGATGGAGATGCCCAGGGAGTTAAGGCTGAGGGTCAGCACCCCAGCAAGAGGGCTTTGAATTCCAAGCTAAGGGATCTGGAGTGAATTTCACAGGCAGTAGGGAACCATTGAAGGTTTTCAGCAAGAGAGTGGCATGATCTGAGCTAGATTTCAGAAAAGTAGAGCCTTGGAGGATAGGCTTGAAGTGGAAGAAACTGGAGTTTGAGGGACCTGATAAGAGGCATATATGTTATATCTGAGTGACATGTGACAAGCATCTGAGTGGTAGTATCTGTGGACTGGTAAGGAGGGAAAAGGTATTAAAGGCAATTCACAGACAATGGGACATGCTTAGAGGGGTACTGGGGAGAAGACTCAAGATGGCCCTGAAGGTTGAGACAGGGTGACTAGGGTGACCTCAAAGGACAGGCCATCAGGAGCACTGGGATATGGAGAAGATCATGAGGCTGAGGTTCAGGGTTGCCCAAAGCATTAGCTCTGTCATTGGCAGTCAATGGTGTCATTCTTAACTGACCACTTTGCAACCTTGTCTGGAGGAAGGGGTTCAGGGGACATCTGCTGGTCATAAAATGCAGCACAACACTCTGACTCCCAAAGCCACGGTAGAACCATCTGCCTGTGGCAAAGATCCTCTGGCCCCTACACCCAGTGTCAGATGGAGTGAGACACTTGGCTCTCCAGTACCTCTATATTCTCATCCAGAAAGTGGGTACTCTGCTTTGGCCCATGCCCTTGTGTCAGATCAGGCGAAATAGAAACTGCTTCACTCTAGGCTTCAGGAACCCAAGGAGCTTTGGAAAGAGGACAAACTTGAGGACACTTGAACCCATGTCCCCCTCCACTATAATGTCAGTCCTTAAGTCCCAGGAATCAGTCTCTTTCCCTAGGAACATGATTGTCCTTGTCACTATCCATGCATTTGGTCTCCCAAATGCCCTGGCACACTCTACCATGCGTCTTTCAACTGGGTTCATTCCTCCTCATGAGATTCCCCCTCAGCTCCCTCCTGCCCTGCCTTGGGGCATACTCTCAGGGATGCTTGGGAGGCAGCCCCTCCTGCCAGGGAGAGAAGGGGGATGGGCAGGGAGCAAGGAAGCATTGCTCCTGTCTTATCTGAGAGACTTTAGAGATGAGACAGAACTGTGAACCTGCTCACCAGCTCAGATGGTGTCTGCGGGTAGCTCAGCTGTTCCTAATGTTGGCCTCTGTTTCTGCCCTTGTTCCTCTCTCTATGCGTGGTACAGGCCCAGCTACTCCACTCATTCCTCAAACATTCACTGATTCTGACACCATGCCAGGCACGATGCCAAGAACCAGGAATGCGAAGATGAATGAGACCCAGTAGCTGACCTCAGGAAGCTCACTGGGAAGAGGACAAATTGCAGATCACTATGATTCAGTAGTATGAGTGCTGGTGGGAGGACAGTGCACTATGGAGCCTGGAGGAGAGCAGTCACTCAACCGTGGGCAGACTGGAAGACTTCTCAGAGGAGGCAACATCTGGGTTGTGCAGGATGAATATGCGTTGGCCAGGCAAAAAAGCAGGACTGTGGGTGGGTGTGGGGGTGGGAGGGACTGTGCAGAGGCAGGGATGCCAGGTGACTTCTAGGGATTCCAAGTCTGCATTTCAGAGTGATGGGTGTAAGTATGAATCCTGCAGCCAGAGTTGGAGATTCTGTTCTCAGGCCACATTCCCCAAGGACCCTGCCTCCTCACTCTGATCACTTCTTATAAAACCCTGACTCATCCGAGCTCTTAGTGTCCCATTTGGATGAGTCAAGCATGAATTAATGTGTCTAGTTTTTCTAAGTGATCCACAGGGTCCTCCCAGTTGGAGACCAAAGGCAGAGGGTTGTGTATTTCCCAGGCAATCAGCCAGAAGCTGCTGGAGAGCTCAACTGGGGACATCGACGATCTCTAGACCTCTCTCTGCACCCAAAGAAGGGCCTCTGGGAGCTCCCCATCACTCTTGCCTTCCTGCTCAGCCTCAGCACATGGGGTTGGAAGGAAACACTCCTAGTAAGATGGCTTCCAGGAGCTGGAGTAGCATTGCAAAGGCTGGAACCCTAGCATGTAGGAGTGACCTTTCGTAGCATACAATGCCCCCGTCCTGACTGGCAAGGTAGTTCCCTTCATGGCCCTCTGTACCCAGTGGGCACTTCCTCATAACCTGGTGGCCCCAGCATGCCTCCTCCATTAGCCTAGGCCTCTCCCAGCCCCTACACATTGCACTTCTCCATAGGGCCCGTCTTCAACTGTTCTAGCTCCCTGGGGAATCTTCTGTCCCAAACTCCCACTGCCCTTGGCAGCTCTCTGTCACTCTGACTCCCTTCCTGCTGTGGGTTTTGTCTTCCAGTTGTACTGCAAACCCTTGGAGGGCAGGAATGGAGATGGTAGAATCCTTTGGTGTCCCCTAGTACCTAGTATGGTGTAGGGCATGTATTGCTGATACCGTAATTCTACTGCTAGTAATAATGATGTTTACTGAGCATTCACTACATGCCAGGCCCTTGTCATACAAACACTTTACCTGTATTAACTCATTTATTGCTCATAGCAACCCTAAGAGGTATGCTTTATCATAACCTCTATTTTCCAGGTAAAGAAATGGAAGCACAGAGAGGTTATGTAGCTTGCCCAACGCCTTGCAGCTAGTAAGTAGCAGAGCTGGGATTCAAACCCAGGCTCCCTGCTCCAGAGTCTATCCTTTTAACACAGACACTAGACTGTCTTTCTATTGTGGACTATTGCAGACACCCAATAAATTCCCTGCTGAAAATTAACAAGGAGTCAAGTTTTCATTCATTAATTCATCGATTCATTCATTCAGCATTTATTGAGCACCTGCTATGTAATAGGCAATGGAAGATACAGAAAAAGGAACTAGGCTCAGCCTCTGCCTTCAGAGGTGACAGTCAGCTGCTTACACTGACTCTACAGGTGAAAACAGGTGTACCTGGGCCTTCCCCAGCCTGAGGATTATGGCAAGTTGCATTAGATGAAGCAGCTTCCTCCAGAGGTGGAGCGTCTGCGGAGGTCTGAGGACAGTCCAGGCTGCCGACCCTGCCCCAGGGCTCAACGATGATGCCTAGCCAGGGAAAAAGGCCTGAGCTCTTTCTGGACTGCTGCCCTCCCAGGCATTGTCAGGGTGCCTACAGGAGGGGACCAGACACTGCCAGTGCACTGAGCATCCACTTCCTGAAGACCAAGGCAGAGGAGGCATAAAAGCTTAAAATGGACTTGGACGAGAGCATCTGCAGGAGCTCATCTATGACATATGGGAAAGGGGAAGCCTCAGGAGGGGCCGACGGCGTGGCTGGTGAAGTGGGATCACATGTTAGCATCCTCCCACAAACGGGCAGGTTGGCACAAAGCTCTGTAGGCAGGGAGCAGGCAGGGAGCAGAGTAATGACATGTAATGATATGTAACCCAGAGTGGAGCCCAGCCCAGCGGAGCCAAGCTGGCACTGTGCAGTCTGCAAGAGAGGAGGGAGTCCCGTGTGTGGGCTCCTCCCCAGGCTTCCTATCCCTGAATGCCCCCTTTCTGGCTTGCCTGGGACTCCTGAAATCCCCACCATTAATATCTCCTTAAAAATAGCATTTTAGGGCTGGCTGGTTAGCTCATTTGCTTAGAGCGTGGTGCTGATAACACCATGATTAAGGGTTCAGATCCCCATACCAGCCAGCTGGAAAAAAAAAATGCATTTTGGCCCCCGAAGCCTCTCATTTCAAATTCTGGGAGGCATTTCCCACTAAACACCTTGAAATGAGGCTACCTTCTTTTCCTGCATGACAGCTAGCTGAGAGGTGGGTGATTTTAGATGGAGGCAGGGGAGAGAGGTGTCCAAGGTATGAAGTGCTCTGTGGGGAAGGAGGTGCTCACACGTTTCTGGAAAGTGACATCCTGGAAAGATCCTTCACTATATTGTGAGTCCAGTGTGCCCAGTGGTTTTGAGTCATTTGAATGACCCCCAAAGGGGCAAGCGGGTTCTACTTTGCCACAGACTCCACCCCTCCCCACTGTCCAACACAGAGATACCCCTTGCTTCCGTTGCCTATTCGTTCCCCTGCATCTAGTATGGTGTAGGCATGAATTGCCCATACGTAATTCTACTGCTAGTAATAATGACCAACATTTCCTGAGCATTTACTACATGGCAGGCCCTTGTCATACACACATTTTACCTGTATTAATTCATTTATTGCTCATAGCAACCCTAAGAGGTATGCTTTATCATAACCTCTATTTCCCAGGTAAGCTGCAGGACAGCCGAGTTCTAGTCTTGACTGTGCCCTCCATGTGCTGTGTCACCTTCCGCTAGCCACCTGGCCCAGTCCCGCAAACCTTCCGCCTCGCATGTTGTGCTGTGGCCGGTGCGGGGAGAGAGGAATAGTGCTTAGGAGAAAAGGCAGTGGGGGGTAGGATTTCAGAGTCGGAAAGACAGGGGAGGTGAAAGGACACAGATTTGATTTTGATGGAGTCCAGGCAGCAGCACGTTCTTGCATTTACTCAAGGACTGTGAGGCTTGCTCTCACCGTCCTGGTGGAAAGAGAGCTCCCGAGGAGACCCCAGCAGGGAAGCTAAGAAGGCGGCCAGTTGAGGGCCAGCGAGGCCCGTCCACCCGAGCGCGCCGGGCAGCTGAGGCCAGAATTCGCTCGCATGTGCGGGGTGATTAATAAACAGAGGAGCAGGGGACGGGGTTCCACGGCTCGCCGGAGAGAGGATTTAATTAGCAGCGCTTTCAGGAGAGAAAATTAAATGACAGGAAACAGTGGTGAACTCCAAGGACGGGGAAACCATTAAACCGATTCTCAGACCCCTGCTCGCGCCAGGGTAGCATTTCCACGGCCCCTGGTCCTGTCCCGTGAGCCAAGGGCCGCGCAGGGCCGGGTGACAGCCGGGGCTCGAGCTGCGCTCCCCGGTCGCGCGGGGACTCCGGGCACCCGCCGGGGCCTGCTGTCGCGGCTCGACGTCACCAGAAGGGGGCGCCACCGGGCCGCCGCGCCCCGCTCTCCCGGCGCCCGCTCCCAGGCTCCGCGGCCGAACCGGGACGCGGCGAAGCGACTACGCGACTGGAGCGACATCGAGCCACAGAGGGCTTCAGGGGGAAAGGGCGGGATATGGGGCCCAGACTCGTGCTGCCAGTAGTACTGTGACCCGAGACTCACTACGCGTCAGGAAACGGGGAGAAGCGGCCTGACCCGGGGAATAGGCATCGGGGGTGCGGGGGCACGGCAGCCTTGTCCACACCCCGGCCTCCGCGCTCCACGCCCGAGCGCCTCCTCCGTGGCTCCTAGCGCTCGCGACCTCGCTGTCATCCTGCCGCCCCCTCCCCAGGCGCCGAGGTGGCGCGGCGTCCTCCTCACCCCACCTCCTCCCTACCACCTGGTGGCTTTCCATTTGCCACAACAGCGACCATGAGTAGGATCTGCTATGAGTAGATCCAGACCTGGTGAGTACCTGGCTTAGGGAAGCTTACTGAATCATGACCACAGCCTCGGGCCGTGCGATTATTAGCCCTGTTCTGCAGAAGAGGAAAATGGAACTCAGAGAGGCTGAGGGAGGCTCCCAGAAACACACAGCTGGTAAGAGATGATGTTGAGATCCACATCCCACTGGCCTCTGAGCTCTTCCCCACACCCAGTCCCTAGCACAGAGCCTCTCACACAGGCACTCCGTAAGGACGTGTTGAACAAATGGCAGGCTGTTTCCTTGTTTGTCAAAGGGGGTGCTAATAGCTAAGGGGGTGTGAGGGTTGAATGAGATGGTGTGTGTAAAACACCTAGCACTGCACTTGGACCACCGTGAGCATTTAGTAAAAGCCGGTGCCATGCTTCTGAAACTTGACAGTGCTGGCAATCGTGGGGGGTATCTCCTTCAAGTGCATATTCTGAATGAGGGGGGCCTGTGAATCTGCATTTCTAACCGGCTCCCCGGTGATGCTGCTGCTGCTCACTCTGCTGCACTTTGAGGAGCTGGCTCCGACTCTCCCCACCCCAACCCCAACTCCAATCCGAAGTCCACACTCGTGAGCCATTACAGTAGTTTCCAGCTTTGTCTGCACATTGTCGAATACCTGGGGAGATTTAGAAATTACTGATGGTGGTGTGGTGGGGGGAGGTCCCCCCTCCCAGAGTCTGATAGAATTGGTCTGGGGGTGTGGTCTGAGCATCAGGATTTTAAAAGTTCTCTAGAGAATTCTGTTAGGCAACCAAGGCTAGAATCACTGCAGTGGAGGGGTCTGAGGAGAGCAGTAATATGAACAGAGGGGTTTGAGGAAGTTCACCTGAAACAGGTGTGGAGGACAGATTGTGCAGGAGATTGGAAGCTGAGTCACCAGCTAGGAAGCTGGGACAGGTGTGAGATTAATCTGGCTAGGGTGGGACTGACAATCAATGCTCCTGATGCCTCTGTAGCTCCCCATCTGCTGGCAGTATAGTTCCAAAGAGGGGTGAGGCCTGGGACAGGCTGGGGAGACCTGGAGAGCATTCTTGGCAGGTATTCTGCAAGGTGTGTACTAAGGAGGGGCTCTGCTCTGAGTGCAGCAGGGTGCCAGAGGCAGGCAGAGAGCTGGGCTGATTTGCTGGTCACTGCCTATAAACATGAAGTGGAAGGCTGGCCTTGGACCGAGGACAGCTCGGCCAGCCCAGTCTTCATTCCTCAAACAGCATTACCTGTATAATCTATTTTATTTTGTTTATTTTACCTGTAGTAATCTTGTGATTACTGTGTATTAAGCACCCAGCACGTAGGGCCACTCTACTCCACACTTGTTGGGAAAAATAGGAAAATGTCAGGGCCCCTTGGATGTTCAGAATCTTGCTGAGCATTTGCTGCAAATATCCTCAGGTGTTCCCTGTTACAACTTAATGTAAATTGTGTATGGGCACCCACATGTCCAGGGTTGTGGACTTAAGTATAAAAGACTAACAGCTCTGAGCCACAGTGCTTCTCAGAACTCTCAGAGAAGCCACTAGGACGGTTGCTCCTAGACCTGAATAAAACCCATTTGTTTTTCTATACCTACGGCTCCCAGAACCTTTCTTTTTTTACCTAGCTCACAGACCTGCATGTGGAGGGTTTGTAACCCAATCTGTGCCACAGACTTGAGGGGTCTTTAAGTCCTAGCTTTACAATTGGCATAGTCGGCAGGATATTTGAGCAGGTACAGGAGCGAAAAGCCCCTTGGAGAGGGAGGAAATGTGGCTACTCATGAATATGTTGTGCCCTCTGGCCACTTTCCTGTTGACCGGGATCTGGTTGCTGCTTACTACTACAAGTCAGCATAGACCAGGCACTCCATGAAGCAGTGTGGCCTCAGAGAGCCCCTTAGGAGGGGGAGGAAATGTGGCTATCCTTGAGCATATGGTGCTTAGTGGCCACTTTTCTGCTGACTGGAGCCTGGCTTACTGCTCACAAACAGATCGACATTTAAAGAAGAAAGCAGAGCTGTTGGAAGCACGGATAATCTGGAGAATGACGTGCTGCAACTGGGCACCCCTGCCTCTCATACCTGGAAGAACGACAAACCTAGTGGTGAGTTGGAGGAGACTGTGCGTCTCCAGGCACGACCTGTTGTGCACCAGAAACTGAAACATGAACAGCCTATAGGACCAGGTGGACAACTGGAGGGTGATCCACAGGAAACTGAATTCACTACCTATGTCCCATATACCCAGGTTGAATTAGCTGATTTAGGGAGACAGTTCAGGCAGAAACAGGGAGCTCCTGGCTGCTTGGCTGCTGCGGTTATGGGACTTAGGGGTGGATAGTGTGATGTGC